AGCCACGCCCAGAAATACTTTCTCCGCCGCAACAACTTCAATCGGAGACGCCGCAGATCCAGCCTTTTCGATATCACCACTCACACAGTAACTCCCACTCCCTTTTCCATATTTAATTTTATTTTTTAACCACCCCAATTAAATATTTCATTCAAACTTGTGTTTAATTTGATATGAAGTTCACAAGTTCATCCATGGAAGACGAGACCATGCCTCCGCCGCTCCCGCCAGCTCCACAGCCACAAAAAGACAGCAACGCCCTGGAGATGGAAAATCCTCACGCAAACACGACCAATAGTTCCAAAATAATTCGTCCAGTACCGAAGCTTCCCGTATCTCCATACCCGAAATTTGCGGAGCTGAACATTAACGAGACAACGGCAGATGAAGAGCCGTTGCCGCTAACTCTAAAGCTGTCAACTCCACATCCACATCCACGGTCGGAGGGGCAGTCGTCGGGCACGGGCAGTAGTTTCCAGGCCGCAATGTCCGGCGGCGGAGACAACATAGATATTGTGAGCGTTGCTTGAAGATAACATAACGAGAATTGTTGGGTTAGATAAGATTTAAGAATAAGAGATTGGATTTAATTGGACGGCGCTTTCGATTGATCAATGTACAGGTGAGATTGGTCCCGGAAATAATGTGAGATCATTTTCGATGTGGGGGACTCTGCTTTGACTTGCTCGGTTCCTCTTAGTCTTAGTCTTAGTCTTACGATGATACATCCAGATCAGCTTTAATTACCTCTCTTAATCTCACCATCTTGCTTACCTTGTATTGTTATTATTATTATTTTTTATAGTTATATATATTGTCATCCTATTTCTTCCCTTCTCCTATCTTAAACAACAATTAAATAACTAGTACTTGGATTTATTGAAAGTACACCGACTAAATTTATAGGGGGAGTGATATTGTTAAGAATAAGGGATCACCTAGATTCAAATGCAGACTCATTTAATTATTTATAGGATATTTAACTTCTTTCAACATGTTGTGCTTCCATGAATAAATATGAATCACCTTTCTCACTTAATTATTTATAAGATATTTAACTTCTTTCAACATGCTGTGCCCCGTGAATGAATATGAATCACCTTTCTCACTGGATATGTCCAAATACAAATTTTGTACCAATTGTTCCAAAACAAATCTACTTATCTTTCGATTCAATGGCGTAGTCCTTTGATACAAGATACTGAGTTGGAAATTTTGTATTATATAATTTTTSGATTTTAAAAAATTATGGTGATAAATTGAGGAGACAATTTAAAAATGTTTCAAGTTTTATATAATTTTCAAAGTAAAATATATATATATGTAATCTTTTATTTTTTTATTTTAGTTTAATAGAACGTGAATGTGAGGACTCAAACTTTTAATATTTGATTGAAAATTAATTAGATTATACTCTTGTGGACATTTTTTTTCTTAATTTAAAAAATTAATATGTATCTTAAAAGATGTCACTAACTTGATAACATTTTAAATATAAACTAAAATTGATTTTTCTTGGTGTATTTACATTCAATTTGAGTTTAACTTTGATTATAATTGTGATACTTTTGTAAAATCTAAACTTCTTTTATATTTAGAAATACATAATTATTTATTGTTAGTTACATTTCTAGTTAAATGCGTATAAATATCAGATGAATTAAAGTCTTTTCATATTTCCAAATTCCACGTCTGAAAATGCAAGGAGAGGAGAATAACGCGGCAAATATGCAATTAAGGGAACTTCAGGGGCAGCGAGGAGAATTTAGAAACTGTAAGTCTCCAATCTGGGATTTCAATTTGCAGATATTGGTAACAAAGAAAAACGAAAAGGAGGACGATCACAGGGAAATAACGTCGGGGCCAAAAATGTGTCGGAATTTTTCGTTGTTTCCTTTTCTTCTTCTTCTCTTCAGCTCTTCTGCTTCACTTGACGCCCGAATGCAGAATACGTAAGCTTTACATTGATTATATTTGCCAATAGATTATTTTGCTATTAGATCGTAATCGGGTCCGTTTTTTATCTGATCTATTGGAATTCTGTGGTAAATGTTGCATTTGATCCGATTCACAGAGACGGAGTCGGTGGGAACGAAAAAATTGAGGTAGGGTTTGGGCGCAGAGCTCTATTGAGTTTCAAAGAGACTCCTCGGGGAAGTAACGTTACCTTTGAGTGCTCTCGTTCTGGTCCCTGTGTTGCCTGCCTCTACTCAGAAAAGGTTTCTATTTCATTATTCTATTTTTGCCTCAATTTTAATCGAGATAAACTCAATACTGGCGCCTGTTGTTCCCGTTAATCTGTTTTTCTTCTTTGGGAGGGTGGATAAATTATCTAAAAATTATGACTTAGCTTATTGGAGTTAGGACACTGGTTATCTTTCTATTGCTGCAATATGGTGATTAACCATAAATCTCCCAAGTGACTCAATGGGACGGGGTATTCTGAATCTCTGATCACATCTTACATTTATGGCGGCGATAATTTATTAATCGTGGAAAAATAGTGAAGCTATTCATGATCTTTTTTGGGTTAGTGATGTGGTGTAGTCGTGTAGAATATGTAGCTAATGTGGAGATATTGCAAATGCATGCGAATTTTTCATCATGAAGTTACAGGCTCTTAGTTTTCAATACAATAGGATTGGGTAGTGACAGGCCCGTGTTCTTCTGTCTTGAAACCAAAAT